GGAGCAGAACTTCCCTGTGGTCCCATAGGCAATCTTCTTTTAAAAATGGCTAAATGCTGCAGATGCCCATAATTACAATATTTAGCTGTGTTTCACTATTTTCTACATACACATACAAATACATTCTTCTCTCAGCTCAGATGAATAGATTAGGTAGGTGTTCAATCTGTGATAAAGAAATCTTCTTGGCTTGTATGAAAAATATAGATGAGGGCAATAATTAAGGAATTTAAGTGGTGGATACATTAGTAAAGATGTCCTTATTCTCATGCCAAAACCCCCAAGTTACACCAACAGATCTGCACGGGTGGGCCCCTGCGTAGTCAGCTCCTCACTGACTCGTGCTGGGGATTCACAATACCAACACCTTTTTTTAAACCAGCATTAAGGATCTGATGTTGAAAGTTGCTGAGAGTTCTCTTAACTGTCACAAACCTCAGTGGGCACATGGGGCACCAGAAACTATATGGGAGGTTTGCTGATCTCCCAGAAATAGTCTGTATCATTTTGGTAGGAAGAAACAAGCTCAGTTTCAACTATGTGCTGAATTAACACACAGGTGAGGAGTGGACAGGATAGTAAATATTTCGACATCAATTTTTGCTCTAAATTTATTTTAAAGATTTACTTTCCCTTACATACATATTAAAAAAGCCATACCTAATATCAATTCTTTTTTCCTATCTAGCAATTAGATGCATAAGTAGCTACAATCAGCAGTCAGTGCTGTGTCACCGAACATGTAAAACTCAAGACTAATCTGCTATTTTATGTTAGCTAAGTGGCTTTGACTGTATGCAAATGAAAATCTGGATTTTTCACATAAAGGCATGCAAATGTGTGTGTATACATACAAAGATTTCTGATGTGACAATTTGAACATAAAACATCCGATGTCTAGGTAGCAGGAGGAGCACTAATATAACAACTACAAGCTTTAACTATAGTAAAGGGATTTGTGTTAGTACAAGAACCTAAAAAATAAAAGCTCTGAAACTAAATGAGGCTTTGTATTTTTTTTCCCCGTTCACAGTATTATGTTTATTACTATCTGCTGCCCTGACCAATCTGATCTAACCTTGAACTTGCTAGCTGTGCTTTGAGCAGAAGATTGAACTGGAACACCTCCAGAGGTCCCTTCAAATCTTTTCAGTTTTATTTTTTAAATGATTATACAATTCTAATAATTCTAATACAGGATTGTGCAGATCCAAATCTGATCAGTTACTTCCATCTCCTGACTCAATTTAACACAATTTTGCACTTGCTTCCATGATTAACTTTTTTTTTTCCCCCTCAAGTCCATTTAGCTTAAAACTAAGAGGAAGACTTTCTGCAAAGGAAAAAAGGAAATGACTGAGTCATTTCAGCAGGAATCCAGTCTGTCGTTCCAGGACCCTCCAAGATTTTCTTGTTCCCCTGAGGATGAGTGCATACCATATGAAATATACCCTAACCTCCTGAGCAACAAAACTAAACACCACTTCCGAACACATGTTCGTAAGTTTAGAAAACATGATTAAATGGAGCAGGATCAATAAATAGTGAAATTGGAATACTACTTCCTTTCTTCTCTAAAGATCACACACAAATGTGATTAGTTTTGATAACGTGACAATATCTGGAAGATCATTTGACCTTGTAAAATGAGTATATTCTGAGAATTGGAATGCTTTTTGTGGAAGTCAGGAAAAGATCCTTTGCAAATGGCAGGAAGGAGATGGGGGTTAATAGAACAAAAAAATCTGATTCAAGACAGGTGAAGCCCTTAATTTCAGTTCTTCCACGCATAATGAGGAATCTATGCCACAGCCCTAACAAAGTTAAAAATTATCTGCAATGTACTGCACATTAATAGCCAGTTTTCAGAATAAAGGGGGAATGGTGAATTTGCTCACTCTGGTATTCTGCATCATTTGTCAACATGAATGCACAAAACAAGTATAGGCAGAGCAGGGAGCTGGAAATATTAACTGGGTAAGTACAAATGAAAAAGCCAGAATGCATATTCGTATAGATGAAGATTACACAAAACAACAGAAAATTGACATTGATAATAGCAGAAAGAATAAAAAGAATATCTAATGATACCAACCCTTGCATCAAAAGCTTTTGACCTGTAGCTTGGATGAAGAGTATTGAAATATAAAGGGACATTACATGACATTGCAGAAAGAGAGATGGCAACAAGCAGAAACTACTCAAGATGTGATTAACATAATGGGAATATGGAATCACACAGGACTTTAAACTGAATCTTCTGCTGAAATGAGGCCACAGAATACCACAAAGCCTGTAGTGAGTGAGCATAAGATTTAAATGAGGTGAGGATCTACAACTGAGAGAAAGAGAACAGGAAAGGGATCAATGGTTTTGTAGGAGTTGTTTAAAGTGCAACAGGATCCAAGGAAGCAAAAAGAAAAAAAAAAAAAAAAAAAAAGAGGACCAGTTTGAGCCAAACTTTCCTCACTTTGAGGAAAACAAACTGGCAAATGGGAAAAGTAAAAAGAAGGAATGCAAGTATCATACCTTTTACAAAGACCTCAATAATGAGGACTGCTAATGTTTTCACTACTAAATAGACTGCCATATCCCTGGAAAAAAAGGGCAAAAATAGTAAAACGTGCAGGTAGAGATGAGGTCACAGGCTGCAGTTCAAGGTGCCCAGTCTTCACAGATTCTGCACAGCTAGATCTTCTAGCCTCCCTGAGCTTAAACTGAACTGGTAAAGACAGAACACTGCAAGGGCAAGAAGTAAAGCTGAGTATACCTCAGGACAAAAGCATTCCTCAGGAACCTCTATTAGGTATCTAGATATTTGCCTACACAACACTGCAGAACTGGGGCCTATGTCCTTATTTGAATGTAAAAGAATTTTAATTTAATGAGCTTGTATTTTAAAAATGTTAATTTCCTTCTCTGAGCACTTCAGTAAATATAATCAATAACTCCTAAAATACTCACAACTAAAAGACAACCAAGAAGATATTGCAAGTCTATTGATTTAAGCAAAACAACCTTTCAAACTATTTGGTTACCAATGGCATGTGGTTTCTTAAAAAATACACATGTGAAAACTTGTTTCTGATTAAATGTTTGAAGAGTGTCTCTATTTTTATATTTGTAAATCCAGAGGAAATAAATTTATGGAAGCAGCGGTTTCTATTTGATCAACATAAAGGTCAAAGAATAGATATATTGGATAAATTATCAAAATAAGCTATAAAAATTGTAAACATTTCCTTGACAATGTCATATAATTTTTCCTCTGAGCAGGAAGTATCCCCGCTCTGCCAGCACAAATGTTGGGTTCCAGGGCCAGCAAATAGCATCCAGAAAAACAGGTAGGATAGTGGACATCCATTTAAAAGTCTTTTTGAAATGGAATACTGTGCAAATATTAATGTACACAATCCTTAAAGCAGCAAGGTTTGATTAATTCCAAGAGGGTACATATGAACAATAAAGGTTTTTTTTTTCCATTTTAAAAAACAGCCTATAATTATGGGAGAATTTAACTTCTGAATTGCGTTTTAAAAAATATTATTAAATAAAGAACTACAACTTCATAGGATGTGGGTAACATTGCCCTATGTTCACTCACTGTGAACTAAAAGCAGCAGAGCTTTTGAAGAAGAATTTCATGCCTATGAAAGAAGTTCCTAAGGGTTTAATTCAGAGATTATTGAAGTCAGAGGGCAGCTCTTTTGGTTACTCTGATGGACTTTGGTTCATGCCCCAAGAAAACAAACTAACCTGAGAGCTTCCCATTGGATTCATACAGCGTATTATAGGCCTCAAACACATTAGACTGGCCAAACTATATGCCAGATTTTAGCAAAAGACAAAGAAGCTGTCAGAGGTTCATATGAGACAAAGGAAAATGAATGGCAGAGACCATAGTATCATATATCAAATTTCCTCAGAATGCTTTAAATAGACATTCTGCAGAAAATGACTTTTACATTTCCAACCATCTTATAAACACTGGAAACCTTAGCTGCTGAGAGTAGTTCTGAGAATAACCTGCTGTCTAATCTACAGCACACAGTTAAAACTGTGACTGATATCTAGACAGGGAGTGGTGTAAAACTGCACCTGGAACGTGCCCCCTGCAGAAGCTAGTGTCTCTGCAATGGATGCACAGAGGATTGTGGTTACAGTGATCATCATTCTGCCTGCTGGGAGCATCTGAACCACAGGCTTGGCCTCAGCTCTTCCTCACTAAGCTCTACACAATTCTCCAACCCAGAAAGCTGCTCTCACCTCTTCCTTCCTTTAGCAAGAATAAATGAGATTGTTTTCTCAGCCCCTACTCATCCCAAAGGATTTCATCCTTAATTACTCCTGAGCAAATAAAGCACAATATACAACCAAGTATTCCTTCACAAGTATTTCACAAACTGAATTCCTTCATGAAGATTTCAGCATGTTATTCCCTTTCAACAGGCTGCATGCCAAAATCATCTCCCTCCTGTCAAAAAGGAACATGGCTTTCAAATGTGCTTTGAAATTTCACACACTTTGATATATATAGAAAGTACTTCCAGCACTTACAGAATATTTTAATTGGTTTCTTAGGAGGACAGAAGATTTCACTAATTCAGAAAAAAAGTTGTGCTTTTAAAGTTACATTTCCAATCTCCAGAACAATGTTAATGCAAAAGGCTTTTTCTAATGCTAAGATTCAAGGTACATCAGATGGCATTAATGAGATGTGTTTAAATTATAATTATGCTACCCTTACTTTTCTTCATGCTGCTTCAAGAAACCTAACAATAAAGACAGCAGCATTCATGCTGGGAGTACTTTTTATATGAAACAAGGTGAAAGGAGGACAGGCATTTGATAAATTTCCATAAGACAGAATCCATGCAGAAGTCTAACTGTCAGATATGCAACAATCTGCAATCATCACAAAGGCAGCTGGAAAGTTAATACAGCTCTGTATATGCCAGTTTGCCTCTTCTACTTCATTAAAAAGCTGGATGTCTACTCACCAGTTTCCTGGGGGAAAGGTATTCCTCCACAAGTAGCTCTCCATCATCTTTAATCAGTGGACTGGGATTTAGGTTGCCTCGCCAACTCAAATCAGTCACCTGGTATGCAGCTGAGTCTGGATGAGAAACCCTGCCAGGATTCCACTTCAGATCCATCTCAGTATACTCTAAATAAAAGAATAACATGTGGTCTGATTTTTTCCTGTATTTATTATTTTCCCTTCAGCAAAATCTATTTTGACTCCCACTGCAAGTCAGAAAATGGTCATGGAGATGCAGGTTTCTTGAATCAAAAAGAGCCCAATGCATTATGTAACATATATCCTTCTTTTTCTTTACCTTCAAGAGCTATTGTAGTCCTACATCTCATTCAGCTTTGAGTGTAAGCTTCTACAGCAACCTATCATTTGCAGTTATACAAAAAGGCATACTCCTATGGCTTTCTACAAAGAAGGCAGTCAAGAACAAGCAAACCAGGACACTAGTCCTTTCCAGTCTTCTCTGGAAATAGCACACAGCAAAACTCTGCCAGGCTCTAGGCTGCAAGTGGCAGCACCAAGACATGTCACCACTTCTCTGCAGTTTTGAGCTCTGCCTGTAGGAAGCATGGACAGCAGCAGTCTCTATTTGCTGTCCTAAATTAAACATACCTGCACTGTTACTGGCTGCCCTCTGGATCAGGCAGGCCATGGCTACTGACTTCAAGTTCTGAAGAGAGTCTTGGAGAAAATAAAATTAAAATACAATTCAAACAAAACCGTGCATGCTTCAAGTGAGAATTAAATACAAAGTTGAAGATGAAGCAGTTCAGAAGTGCTCAATCTTCAACTCCCAAAGCTATTACTTTCACAGAAATATTAACAATTAACTTTGAAATATGAAACTAAGTGTATGTACACCCATTAAGAGTCAAAAGCAAATCAGCTGCACCCGAATGGCACAAGCATTACTATGATTTATACAGCTATTTACTACTACTTGGCAGCAAGGAAGTATCACAGCTGGAAACATTGCTGTAACAGCAACAGGCTAGGCTAGAGAAAAGCCTTCTCACTCTGCTGAAGGGACACCTGCAGTTTTCCTCTGTTCTCCACTGTGAAGCAATACTTTTTCTTCATGCTGGAAAAGTAATTAAATAATCAAGCTAATCATAATTGGCTGACAAGGCTTCAGTGGTGGCCAGACCCTGAGAATTACCACCTTCCTTCCCCCTTGTACTAATAGTTAAATGCAGGAGTGAATTCTGTTAGGTAAAATAGAAGTTCTGACTGTTCAGCTAGTCATCTCTACTTGAGAGGACTGAATGGTTAGCAGGTGAGAGGGGTTTACACCAAACAGACTTCCTGCTCTGACTACTCGTGTCCAATCAGAAGTCTTCAATTTTGCACTGACAAAAAAAAATTCAAAAGACTCGGTACTCTCAGAAAAAAAAAAGGCAGCCTTTATCTGAAGAAGAGTAACAACAAAAAATTAATGAGCCACCATACCTCTCCCTGCAGGATCTACTAGCACTGGGAAGAGAGGAACAAAAACCTCACACTCCACATGCTCCTTCTCATTCATTAGGAAAGAGGCAACCCACAGAAAGCAACAACTATTTTTCTGAGATCACTGCAAGCATTCCTACAGGAGTAGCTGACTTCTCAAATGTGCAATGTCTGAGCCACAGCAACATTCAATGCTTAAAAAACATATTCAAGAAGAAATTCTTCAGACACATTACTCCTTTCAGTCTTTCTTAATGGCTTATAAAAGAAATACCATAAAGTGAATTGAGTATTGACCTTTGCAGCTTCTAAAACCTCAACATGTCTATAGTAGTATAAGGACAACTTTCATACTTCTGCCCATTAAGAGGGAAAAGAGTTCTAAAAAACACTGTGTGTCTTAGTTTTTGGGAGAAGCACTACAACCAACCCATAGATTTTTGCTCCTTTTTCCAAAGCATTCTCTAATTTCTCAGATGTTTTCCTCTACATTCTCTGAGCAGATCAGCATGATTTAGTCAGTACACTGAGTTGCAACAGTCATCAGTTGCCCAAGGAAATTCAAGAATCTTACGCGCTATGAAGGTCTTCTAGTGTTGTCTTTATTTTCCTAAAAAAGAATTATTTTGATCAATAATAGACGTGGATTAGAATATTTGCCATATAAATGCTGGAATACTTTGACAGTTGCACAAGACTTGTGCTGTACCCTGTGCAAGTACTGGTGGTTCCTTCTAATTCAAGTGAGGATTGTGATTATCCAGAACTAATCCTGTATGTTTTTGGAGCCAAGTGGAACAATAGTCAGAAATCACTGATGTAATGTGTGAGCGCAAAACATAATGAGGTAACAGCAGGATTGTGTAGATTCAGGCTGTGAAAAGTTGATACACTTTCATAAAACAAATTATTTCAGTCCATCACTATTACATTTCAGAACAGTCTCCAATCTTGTGTTGATATAGCACTTACTTAAGGTTTGACAGGGGGATCAATTTGTGGCTTAATATCTGAGTAACACTTCCAGTTCTATAGTTCCCACTATTGATCTACTGCTTGCAACTATTGTAATGTTGGATTAGTGAGGAGAAAAGTATTTCCATTACAAATTGTCTGGGATCAAATTGAGTTATTGTCAGCAAACAAAACTAATTTCTTTTTCACATGCTTCCATCACTTTAGAACTTTCTCCAGAGAGGAATTTTCTCCTGAACATGGATCAAAATAACATCCTCAAAATGAGGAACACAGAAAAGCTAAGAGTGCAAGATTCCTAGTAGTAAGGTACTCATCTTACATAAAAATACATAAACCTCTGAAATCTCCAGTACTGCGTAGGAGCCTAGCACAACACTTATCCCCCTACAGATACAGGAGCTAGATTGCTCATGTTTATCAGGTCCACCTGACTATTCTGGACAGGTAAAATCATTCCTGTAAAGCCACCTCACCCACTCACTTAAAATGCCAAGAAGCAATGAGAAGTTGTCCTGGTTTAGGCTGGGATAGAGTTAATTTTCTTCCTAACAGCTGGTATAGGGCTGTGTTTGGATTTAGTGTGAGAATAATGCTGATAACACACCAATGTTTTAGTTGTTGCTAAGTAGCACTTACCTGATCAAAGGCTTTTCAATCTTTCATGCTGTGCCAGCAAGGAGGGGCACAAGAAGCCAGGAAGAAGCAGAGGCAGGACACCTGACTCAAACTAGCCAAGGGGATATTCCATACAACAGCACATTATGCTCCGTGCATAAAATGGGAGGAGTTGGCTAGGAGGGGCCGATCACTGGTCAAGGACATCAGTCAGTGGGTGGTGAGCAATTGTACTGGGTGTCACTGTTGTTTGTTTGGGGGCAGGGGGGTGTTTGTTTTCTCTCTCTCTTTGTTATTTCCCTTTCGTTATTATTATTATTAGTGTTTTATACCTTATTTCAGTTATTAAACTGTTCTTATCTCAACAGTTTTCCCAATTCTCACCCCACTGGGTGGGTGGGTGGCTCTGTGTGTGTGTGTGTGTGTGTGTGTGTGTGTGTGTGTGAGCAAGCAGCTGCATTGTATTTAGTTGCCAGCTGGGGTCAAACCATGACAAAAATCTATGACTCTGTCAAATGCACAGGACAAGCAATCACTGACCCAAACTAATACCAGCTTCAGTGGGACAGTTTACAGGAACTGGAAAAACTTCATTGTCATAAAAGAGGTCTGAGAAGTCATGAAACTGAAGATATACTCCTGTTGTGGTTTAAACCCTAGCCAGACAGCTTGTTCACTCACTCCCAGTGAGTGGTGTCAGGCTGAGAGCAATTGAGCCCCCGCCCCCCCCCCCCCCCCCCACTGGGGCTCTCCCCTTCCCCACTCCCGGAGGAATGGGGAGGAGGATCGAAAGAGTGCAACTCCCATCGGTTGAGACAAGAACAGTCCAGCAACCAATGTACAACACAAATCACTACTGCTACCACCAATAATAACAATGATAAAGGAAATAACAAGGGAAGAGAATACAACACCTCAGCACCAGCCGACCAATAACTTGCCCCCCCCCCCCCCCAGCCCAACCAAGCACCGACCCATACCTCCTCCAACCCTGCAGTCTCCCAGCCCTTCCAGCTAACTCCCAGTTACCTCCTGGGCATGACGTGCTGTGGTATGGAATACCTCTTTGGTCACTTTGGGTCAGGTGTCCTGTCTCTGCTTCCTCCTGGCTTCCCCTCCTCCCTGGCAGAGCATGAGGCTCACAAAGTCCTTGGCCAAACCAAAACATCCTTATTATCAGCTCTGTTCCCAAGCTGAAAGTCAAAACACTGCACTGCACCAGCTACCAAGGAGGAGAAAAATGACTGCTACTGCTGAACCCAGGACAACTCCACAGAGAAGACAGCCACATTGGATATATGTTGGATCTATACTCTCAATGGGAATGCAGATGGCTGCTGAAAGACTTCGTAGGACCAATAAGGATGGAAGCTAACTGCACCTAACAAAAACCTTCAATAAATTCAATGAGAGAACAAAGTAATATCAGTGAGTAGATGAGAATGTCAGGAAAGAAAATGGATTAAAGAACCATGGTGTTTTGTCCTGCATGTGAGCATTGGCAAGAATAAATGAAAGAAATCAACAAATTAGATTTTGCAGGCTTTGTAAACTTTGCAGCCTCTTGCACATGTGGATAACTAGAAGCAGCTAATCAGTGTCTTTATTTCTACAGTTAATCTGCCAACTTTCCCCATCACTGCCACTCTCCTTCCCAAAGCAAGCATGATGATGGTAAGCTATTCAATTCACATACATGTTGTGAAAGTTAATAAAAAACTGCACAACATTGTCAACATATATAGAGTAATGCAGCTAATAAAGATTATTATCAAAATTATATGATCCTTGGAACATGTTATTCAAAATCCTGCAGAATACTGTAATTTGCTAGACAGAAATTGGCAGAGCATAGTTATTTGATGTTCTTAGGGTCCAACAAACTGGTAAAACTCCAATGTTTTCTTTTCCTGCTATAAGATTTATCAAAGAGTCAATGATGGGATCATGTATTCTCATTAAATATTTATTAATATGCATTTCAAATACAGAAATTGCCAGAAATGTTTGACTTCATATTAATTATAGTTTCTTGAGTCTGGTAAAGACCCTCTGAGTAGTGTGACTAGGCATGATAATTTCTAATGAAGCCAAGACATTACCTAAAGAGCTTGTCCAAGCAAATACATTGCTATTTAAAAATGAAAACAACAACAACAACAAAAAAAAACAAACAGTAAATTGATCTAGATTTACTATAGGAAAGACATATACCTCTATGTATTAACATCCCATACAAGAATGAATCTCTACTCCCTTAGGCCAGCTTCTCAACCAGCATCCTCTAGCTCTGTGGCTTCCCATGCCTTCAAAAAGCTTCAGTGGACAGGGAGGATTGCCAGTTCAGGTAGGGTACCGCAATCTGTATGCCCTTAGCTTTGTCACCGGCCTAAAAATTATCTAGGAAAAAAACATTTGAGAGCCATTGTGCTATCTAATCCTTCATGACAAAAAAAAGCTTTCACTGCAGACTTTCATTTCTCTTGCCCTGTATAATGTAATTTTTATTTTCTTTAATCCAGAATCACAAATTACAGTGGTGCCCATACTGTTACCACTACCACAGAAGGAAAACAAAGAAATCTGGGGTGACTAAGATTTAACAAAAGGTTTGGTTTATAAGTC